TCTTCCTTTAATGAGTAAGGTTACACATTCCTTTTCATAAAAACCCTGTTTCCCTATTGTTCTCAAGTACTTTATGTCCTCTGTTGTTATTATTTCTCCAGTTTCCATAGTCAATACGTAATATGTACTGCTTTGAGTCCAATATACTGTGTTCTAGGTTGAGGCTTAGTCCCCATTTCTCATAATATTCTTTCAAAGTTATATATTCAATATCTTCCTGTCCTTGCGCCATCAGCACCCGATCATCAGCGAACTGTATCGTATACTGTTGTATTATCATCAAGTGGTATTCCCATCCCAGCACATTTTCTTTTCCATACCTGTGGCACCGCATTTACATACATTTTAAAGAGGGTAGGTGACAAATAGCACCAGTGCCAAAGTCCTTTTGATGTAGGAAATTTTTGGGTCCTATGTTTTCCAACTTTTACTTTTCCATTTTGATATATTATACAATTCCTTCGCCGAATTTATTAACATTGCATTTACATTACTTTTATTCATAACTTCCCGTAACTTTATGACTGGCACACTATCATACGAAGCCTATATCAAGGAAGACCATGTGAAGTTCTCTCCCTGTTTACCATTTCTTTTGCATCACCTGGGACAGACAAAACAGGTTATCTAAGCAAGATGAACCCGCCCTAAAATAACTTCGTTCTCCTTCTTCGTGGGTGGATGGATAGACGGAACCAAATTCTGAAGGAGGCCCAAGTTCACTAATGGACTGTTGCGCTCTAAAAAGAAGAATACGGGAAAGTATATGCCATTCTGTAGTACCACTAGTTTCTGACTGAAATAAAATGAAGCGTCTTCTCCCAAAAACCTGTTATATTTATTGAATCAGAGCTACAGTATATCCATAGATTGATTAACTGAAGTTGTTATATAAGAAAAGTAAACGATCCAAATAGCAGTAGAATTGGCTAGAAAAAATGGAGATAAGAATTTGAAAAAGTCTCACTCATTTCCGACATTACAAAGCATCGTGGAAACTGAATTTGCAATAGGGAAGACAAAGAACTTTACAGAAAACAAATTTATTCAGGAAGTAGAGCGGGGTACACATCTGAGAGAGTGAAATATGATTTTTATGTCTCATAAAAACGATCCATTAGTAACAAGGCGTGTCATATTTTGTTGAGGAAGCAGCAACTCCTTACTGTGAAACTAAATCTTAGATAATATCACCCGATCGGCAACAATTATATAAGACAACTAGAGTCTAGTACAGTTGTTAGAACGCCTACTGCTGCAACAGCGGCCGGTTATCATGATATAAGCGAGTTTGAACATTGTGTTATTGTCGGCGCAAGAGAGATGGGGCATTGCATTTCCGAGGTGGCGATGGGATTTGGATTTTCCCGTACGATTATTTCACGAATGTACCGTGAATATCGGGAATCCAGGAAACATTAAAACTTCGGCATTGCGGCGGCCGAAAAAAAATCGTTCAAAACGGAATCATTGACGACTAAATTTCAAAATTTAAATGAAAATCAGACCTATGCAACATTTCATCACTCTTTTTACTATACTCGCGCATTTTACACTTTTTTAAATTAGTTGTGTCTCATACTGACGTCACGCGTCTCCAAACTCCTAAGATAGCTTGAGCTAGGAGTAAATCTTCCGTTAACATTTTTTGTTTGGAGTATTCTTCCGTTAATTTAGTTTGTCTCGTCGAAGTCAATTGTTAAGAGGACCGCCAGGTAGCATCTCCGCGTACGCGGTTCTTTCTTACGCAGTCCTGCTTCACTACCCAGCGGCCAGAGTTGGGAAAAAATTAGGAAAGTGGTAGGGTTTAGGACCCTAAAAATTGTACAAACATGTTAATTCTCAGCGGTTTTTGTTCCGTTTAAATAGGGCCAGTAAGTATTTTAGAAAAGGGGAATTTCAATTCGGAACTGCTTATGTTTATAATCAGTTACCAGAGCGAAAATATGTATACAAATTGAATGACAGATAAAAAAAGTTTAGTAAAATATTTCTATATTGTTAAGCATTAATCTGCCATTATTAAACAGCTTATCCAAGTTTCTGCTCTTTCTTTAGATTTTTTTAAATTACATAATATGATACATTTCAGAAGTAAATTCAAGAAAACATAACAGAATATGAATCTTAATAAAATGTTTAAAATAGTAAAAAATTTACTCAATAATTTGTTAGAATGCATAATAAAAAAATGTATAGATTATGATTTATTCATTTTGCTAATTAATCATTTTTACAAATTAGCTAAAAAACCTTCATTGCATACATTCATATAGTATATTCAGAATCCGCATTCCATATTTTAAAAAAGGGCACAAGAAATTAATTACTGCTTGCTCCCATCTATCAGCCTTCATTTTGCCTGTTCTTTAGAACTTACCTGAAATTATCATCTTGGCTGTCACCAGATTACCACCACATATCTGTTTGAAAGTGTCACCCATCATTTTAAAAATTCCCACATGCCAAGGAAACTCAGCCAATTTTGCCACTCTTCCATTAGCAATAAATGGAAGGCCACCTGGATTTGGAAGACCACATTCTGCGAATCGACACATTGATAAAATTCCGTACATTAATGTTACTGGTGAATTTCCATTATAAGTCCATTGAAAACATTCCTTTGTTCTTAAATATTGCTCCAATGCACATTAATTCATTGAATTTTTAGAACATGAAAAATACATTAGCCATGGGCTCATTACACGAAAAACATGAAAAATAAATTAATTCCACCCAAACTCAATTTATTCATCCCCTGCAAACTTTAAAATCATCATTAGTTCAATATTGCACCTACTTCCCTTCAGGATGACATTTACCTGGAGTGCATGAATACACAACGTTACTCCATTGTCCAGTCTCCTTACATATGATGTCATAACTTGACAGTTCAGGACCAGCAGTATGAAAGTTTTCACAACGAACTGTTGCCTTGGTTCCAGGAACCATTGGTTCACTGCAATTGACAATGGTGCCAGATTCTGTACATTCAAAGTACCTTGATGGGTTTTTTAACGGTGGACACAAAGCTGTGAAGTACAGAATAAGAATGATCCAATAGTTCTCTCTGCCTCCAATTTATCATGTAATAACCCAACTATTCAAGTCAACATCAAACATAAAGAAAACAATGAAATGATAAAACTCTAGAAATATGAAATTGCTGAATCATTTTAAAAAATATCACAATCAATAAAGTACACTTCATTAACTAACATTTGAATTTTAAATAAATATTTTAGTTCCTTTCACTCCAATGAGAATTCTGACATTCATAACTCATAAGTCTATTAATATATCATATATAATATATATAATAATATACATAACTCTATTAATAGCTTAACTCAAAAATTGAAATACAGAGTAAACTCTTGGAGGACTGGCCGACAGGGAGATTAAAAAACGTTACACCAATACTTTTTCATCAGATGAGAAAGTAAATGGTTTCGCTATGTAATTATAGATCTTGCAATATTTGGATATTTCATTGAAATATTCTTACTTTTATTTACTAATTGGTCAATTATAAAATAATGTACAGAAATCAAGAGTAAAAATATACCAATCAGTCAATTTTCTCACTCATGAATATAATCGTATTTTGTACTTTTATACCATAAATTACTGTAATTTAATAAAAAAACATTTTTTATGAATTTTTTCACATTTCATATCTTAAACAAATGTAATGTTATTTTAACAAATATAATTTTATATCTTTAACAATACATACCTCTACTACAAGTTGGAAAGGGTGATGACCACATTTCATTACTACACCAAATTATATTAAGACCTGATAAATGAAAGCCTGGGATACAAGTAAAATTTAATATAGCAAAATTTGAAATTGTGGATCCTGGAGAAACATTGCATGATTGTGGTTCACAACCCCCAACATGGTATATTCCATTCACTGGTTGAGATGGAAGTACACAACCAGTTGTCACACGAGGTGGAGTTGGTGATGATGTAGGTTTGTGGCACATTGCAGGATTTTCATCAGAGCCATCAACACAATGCACTGTGCCATCACATGCACTAGCTTTTGGAATGCATGCTCCATATTCACATTTAAAATGATTAGATTCACACCTAGTGAGAAGTGTAATGTAATTAATTACAGCCTTCAACTTACACTTACTTCTTTACTAGCACTTTTTCTGCTCCTCGATGGGCTAAACTAAATTAAAACAAGATAAGAATATTTTAACTTAATTTTTTTATTGATGGAAAATAAATAGAAACCTTATGAAAAGTTCATTTTTAAACAAACAACATTAAAAGAGCCGATCCGGTGGCCGAGATCGCTAAGGCAGTAGTGCCATAGCGAACTCGGACCGAAGGATCGCGGTGTTCGAGTCCCGCTCGGGCATGGTTGTATTGTGTTTCGTCCTTTCACACCCCTATCATCATTGCAAATTATGTGTCAACCCCACAGTTACCCCCTACAGTTACCATCAGCAATAGTGGCCTAATGACCTAGTGTTGAATGCGCGTTAAATAACAAAAGAAAATACAAAATTAGTTAACATTGAAGGGAACCATTTCATTCCCTAATATTAAAAAATTACCCTTCAGATTCAGAGAAAAATTATACTTGCCTCCTGAAAATTAAAAAAGAAAGGCACCAATTTCAAATTATCGCAGAATACACAATTTTCATTCATAAATGGTGAAATTTTTCACTGACAGGTTTCTTTATACCATATTTATAGTAGAGTTGAAAACTGAATGTATTACCATTTGAAGCCCTCATTCCAGAAATATTGAAGAACAAAATATTTAAAATTGTTAATTTTGGAGCTTGCCAAAGAATTTTTCACTTTGTTAAATCTGATAGTCAACTTAAAAAGAGAGAAAGATTTTCTTCAAAACTGGAATAATGCATTAAAATTGTAGTTGGTTTTCAAAAGTTCAAAATTTGTTAACTAAATTTTTGCCTGTTTTAGTAATTTGCATCTAAGATAGATTCAATTACACTAAACACATTATAACACTTACACAGGATAAATTGGATTTCCTAATAGAACCCTGGATAATGGAGGTTGTATTGAATTTCAATTTGTGATTTGTAGTGACTCTTGTGCCTTATTGTACAATAAAAAGTTGTTTTTATTATCAATTCAGCAAGTCAAAATAATTTTTAAATAAATTTGTGGGAATGTGCAGCATATCAAATTTTTCCTCTTTTTTTTCTACCACAAAACGGAGAATTTTCAATAAAAAACTCTTATTACAACTAGTAACAAAAAAGTGGAAAAATCCAGTTGTTAAATTTAAAGAAAAAAATACTCTAATGCATGATGGAACCAGAATCCATGGTTTGTCGACGTTTGATACCAAAAAATTGCATGCATCAAAATGTGTCTGTCCGTCTGTCTGCGAACACTTCTGACTAAAACGACTTAAGACAATTTTCTCCGAAAATTATATTCCCCGAACATTCTGGCTGATGTCATGGCACTTTGAATTTGAAACCCATATTTTAATTTAGGGGGATACTTTACATGAAGCACATGGGACATTTTCTAAATTTAAAAAAAATGGCTCCTTTGTTTTTGATTTAATTTTATTGTTTGACAGTGTGATGATGTTTAAGAGAATCGTGTGGGTCTCATTTTAGTTGAAAACTGATTTTTCAAAACTTGCTCAAATTTTAAATTTGTTCAGCATCTTCCTACAACTACAATTATGAAGATAGAGATTGAAGACAATGAAAAAGATCTGTGAACAATGCTAGCAGCCAAATTTCTCCAAAATTGATATTCCAATTCAATTTTCCAAAAATTAGTATTTTTGGTGTACTTGGGCGCCAAACATAGTTGCCTGCTTCAAATTTCCTGATGCACTTTGAGACTGCCAGAATTCTAGTACTAAATATTTATAATTATTTAGTTTCCATTAAATTTATTTTGTATGAACCCAATGTTTTATGTTCCAAAGGCCAGTCTCCAAGTTACTTTGGAAATGTGCTGGACAGACCCAACGATGTTTAATGTTACTAGCGTACGCTGGAGGCAGGAGCCTTATTATCAAGTAGTGCAACTGTGCCTAACAAATAATTTACATAAGTAAAGTATGAATTGTAAATGTTCTTTCTGCTTGCAACCCATGTTTACAAAAGTACACTAGTTCTCTTATGTTGGCTAAATGAATTCACACTTCATTTGAAAAATAAATGCAGTTGGAACTGTGACAGAAAGAGCAAAAATGGCATCTGTAAGTAATTAAACTCTGTCCAAAACTAAACTATAGTTTATGACTCTGAAATAATAATTATTTGAGTAATTGTTTACAGAACCTTATATCATGTATAATTTTTATATTTTTGTACCTAACGTCAAAATACCTACAATATCATCGGTTTTATGAGAATTACAAAAATTACAACAGTACAATCACTTTGAATAGATACAAAATTTTCTTTCATTGTACAAAAGAATAGATATCTACCTTTCCTACTGTTTCAATGACCAGAAGGGCCTGTATGCTAAATAGCTATCCTTTATACAAAAACTTGTGAAAAACTTATTAAAATGCATTATGACTTGTCGTCATGTAACACATGAAATGGGAGTCATGATTATGAAGGATAAGAATATATCTCTTTCCAAAGATCTTGTTCCACTTACCTCAATGTGTCTTATTAGTTATTTAAATTAATTTTGGGAAAATGTTACAGTTTATGTTAAAATTACCCAGCTACTGCTCATGTTTTTAATTGTACTCAACAACATTTAAAAATAAAAAAAATTGGAAGATTAATTACATTGAGAAAGAAATATCTGACTTCAATACTGGAAGTAAAGGCCAGGTTCAAAAATATTTGAACTTCTACAATTTTTAAAATTTTAAAGGTTTTAATAAACATGAGGTCTAAACCATAATTATAAATTAACTTTCCTCTACTCAAGCAAAGAAATAAAGAAAAATATAGTTTAGTACTTTTTCTTACAATCATTTTGTACTGAACCTGAAGAGGCTAAACAGTAAGTTTTGTGAAACAGTAAGTTTGGTCAGTAGTTCCAAGAAATGTTAAAATCAAAAATAACATCAATACTGGTCTCACTTTACAGTCACTTTTCACCCAAGGAAATTCCAATTATTCGGAAATAAATGTTGACTTGCTAAATGGATTATAAAAAACATTTTTGTAATGGGTGTTCATGTGTGTGTATATATTGGTGGTCATGTTGGTGTATGTGTATAATAAATTGTGTTTTAATAAAATGGCATTAAACTAAAGTAATTGTTAAAAAACTTTATTCAACAAAATTACCTTTGAGACTGACATTGTTCAACAGTTTCATCAGAGCCATCAGTACACTCCTTAATACCATTACACACATTTTTAGATGAAATGCAAAGCCCATCTTTACATTTAAATTCTTCAGATCTAAAACAAAAGAAGCTTCATTGAATCTACATTTAACACATTTTCTAAAAATCTTTTCATAGTGTTTCTTAAAATGACAACACAGGATAGCATTTTCTGTAGCCTCTCTAGCAAAACATATTAATGCTAGAAACCATTCATTCTATAGAGTTTACCATTTTCACCACACTTCAACTCTTGGAGATATTGCTACTTTCTTCATTTTTAATTGCTCTCCCCCTCATATAGGATCAGTGAACAAACCACATGTCATCTATTTGCAAATACACTAATACTCCACTACTTTTATTTGTTTTCTCTACATGATGATGACAAACTAAGATTGCAGTACAATTATTACACAAATTTGTTCACAGTTGTAACAGGTGTACATATTATTTAGTACTCTAAAACTACCATGTAAACTGAAAATATGTTCTGCTCAGCAGGTCAATCTGCCCTAGTGTGATCCTATTACTGTGCAACAATTGTTCTTAAAAGGGTTCAAAACCTTAGACTGCCAACTAAAAAATTTCCTGTTAAGAAAGACTTGTGCTCCTAATTCTGTATCTCATTTCAGAATGTTTTTCCAACAATACATAGGTCTTGAAAAATATGAAATTTTGAAACTTTAACCTGAATAATATTTCCTTATGATTTCAGAATCATTAAAAATTAAATTAAACTATGTACAGCATGGTTTAAGACAAATAACTTAACAAGTACTTATGAATATTTTGACCAAAATTAAATGAATTAACAACATAATGCAGATCTTCATGTTCACTACTTCCCATCCAAATTTCCTCCCTCCCCCACCCTCCCTTCCTTTCAACTGTTATCTTAACCTCCAATGGCTTCATATCCATAGATCTTTTGATGACACACTGTCGTGCCTGGGCCTTAGAATGATCTGTTCTCAAAGATGATGTTCATGTTTACAGAAAGGAGTTTTTCCCGACTAATTTGTGTATCAATTCAATTGTGTAAGCAAGAACTAAACTATGGTGATCCTTCGATTCTTTGTATTTTATTTTATTTCAGTTTATTGAATTGTATTTCATGATCTCAATGTATTGTATTTTACTTTTTTTTATTATTTTTTATATTCCTTAATTTAATGTAACTTAATTGCTCCTATGTGCTTAATATTTTTGATTTTCCAATGTTTTCGAAGTTTTACCACCTTGAGAATTAGAATATGAAGATACATTTTTTTCTGGTTGTGTCTTTTGTGAATGCAGACATTAATGATATTTGAATACCTGTTGGTAAAGCAAAATAACGGGTCTCAAAATGTTGTGTATTAGTAATATGTAAATAATAAAACGCATCACAAAGAAACAATTGATTGTCTTTGTAACCTGGAACTATTCAATTAATAATAAATAAATAATAAAATCATTCCATTACATATTATTATTCAATTCTTCTATTTAAAAGATAAAAAATTCTTTGTATTGAATAACAAATACATTACAACATAGCGTACATTTATATTACCACATTTTATTGTTCAGTTATAACATTTATGAACAAATTTTATTCCATGTTACACCATATATCATAATTTCAAATGCTTGAAGAAAAATATGAAATAAATTTAAAGAATTGTCATTAAAATTTAGATACATAATTTTTAAATATAACATTGGAATTACAAAATTTTAAATTAAAATGTTCATTGGGTGTTTTCTCTAAAATGGTATGAACCAGAGCATCTTATTCCCCAGGATCTCCTTAAAAAAGCCACTGTCAGAAAATGATTTAATTATATTCTATTGCCAAGAGGCATAGAGAAAATAATTTAAAATTTTATAAATAAAAGGTTGCAAAGGCATAAACTCAGCCCCTAATATATTAAATATTCTTTATTCAAAACACTTAAGTATTGTTTGCAAAGGATAATATTAATATACAGAAATAATACTATTTATAGCAGTTTAAGAATGTCCTGTACAGAGGTGATGAACAAATGTCACAGAGATTGTAAATATCAACATGGAAGGTAATGGAATGGTCTTTAAACCATATTTCCTTCTTAACAGACAGAAGTATATAAGTATTACTTACCTACATAGTTCAATTTTACAATCTTTTTCATCAGAACCATCACTACAATCCCTGAAACTGTTGCATTTCTTATCGTGAGGAATGCAGTTACCATTATCACATCGGAAGAGTTGTGGTGGACATTGATCAATATATGATGTAAGCGGAGGGTTTAAATATGAAGCTAGAATTGGTCTATAAAAAAATGAAATTAGCATGTTATAGGTATGTTTCATGATCACAATCAAACAGCAAGCATTATACATACATTACATTATTGATACAAGTTTCAGATGTTTCATCTGACCGATCTTCACAATTTCTTTCTCCATTACAAACTAAAGCTGCAGATACACATTCTCCACTTTTACATTTGAACATGTTTTCACTAAAATATAGACATGAGATTAAAGAGTAAAAATTTTTTAAATAAAATTCTAAGAAAGAGCAACACACATTTATCATAGTTTTCACAAAAAGGTACTATTGAAAATTTGTGGGCTTACCCACAAGATTCCCTTTTCCATCTCTCTAGAGAGGTGGAATTTGGCAAAAAATAACATAGTGAAGTATTCCATCCTGAAATAAAAGACGTAAATTTACTGAAATAATGTAGTGCAAAAAAAAATTGCACTTGTGTTTTAGCTGTCAGTAGCCTAAAGAAATTAAGGAAAATAAAAATTGCTTATTTAAGGTAAATAAAAATAACATTTCATTATCACATTTATATATCTTCTAGAAATTTATTATTGAAAATAGTTTTTTTCTTACTTCCTTAGCAAGCACGGGCATGCAAAAACTACTAAAAGGTATTAATTTATAATAATACATTAATTTTGCAACAGTATATCTGACAAGTAGTACAACCGAGTACAACTGCCATGTGACCACTCACCCACAAATGCAATAGCTACCAAATATTTCAATGGAGCTTCAAGGCGCATTATAATGCGAGAAACTCAATGCAAATGCTTTATATCACAGCATCTGCCTTACTATCGTCACCGCGAGCTCATGTGAAGCGTTGGCAGACGCGCAAGGCGAAGGCCCCGTAAGACGTACTGGGAAAACCCGTCCACTCAGCCGCTGCGAAACCGGAACCCCGAAACTGCAAGGTCAAGGCCGAGGGGATTCCCTTGCTTTCGCTCTCCACCTTGATCGTCAATTCGACAGTTTTAAGGTACAATGTTTTTTCAAGAAAGAGAAAGAATACCCTCAAGATATGATGCAGGATATCATACCACAAGTTCGTGGTCTCCAGTATCAGTATCTCACCGCTGAATCCCGGAAGAATGCAGCGACTAGACGCCTTCTCACGGCGGGGCAGTCGGAATGTTCTCTGCATCTGTCCTGGAGACTCACATCAACTGCCCATTGCACAAAATGGGACAATTGCCACACTCCATCAAAGTTTCATTATTTTTAATTTTTAATTTCTGGTGCTTAAGAAGAGAAAGTTATTAAATGATGCGCGAAAAACGGCGAATTTTCTGTAGAAAAACTCTTATAAGAGGGCCATGGTAACGAAAAAGTGGATAAATCCATTTGCTGAATTTAGAAAAAAAATCCTCTGTGGTGTAGCCAGAATCCATGTTTTGTGGCAGTAACGTAACGAAGTGAGAGTTTATAAAAGTGACTAGCAAACACAAGTAGTGCTAGTATCTTAAATAAAAATATCCTCTGAAAACGGGACCTCGTTTACCCGGGCCCGCACGCATTCCGGGCCTTACGAGCCCGAACGTTACGCCACTGTTTTGTGGGTCCGTCTTGTTTTGACACCGAAAAGTCGATTGACGGCAAAACGTCTGTCGGTTCTTCCATCCGTCCGTCTGTCGGTCTGTGTGTCTGTCCGACTGTGAACAGTGCTAGCGGCTAAACCGTTCAGCCGATTTACTCCAAAATTGATATTCCCCGAACAATCTGGCTGATGTCAAGCCTCCTTGAATTTGAAATCGGTATCTTAATTTAAGGCGGTCCTTGACGTAAACCCCCTGGGACATTTTCAATTTTTTTAATACGAATTTTAATTAAATTTTGTTTGTGGATAGTCTGAAGGACGTTTAAGAGAATGGCCCAAGTCTCACATTAGTTGAAAACTCTAATTTTTTGAAAATTGAAAAAAAAAAATACATTTTGTCGGCGTCTTCCTACAACTAAAATATTAAAGCTAGTTTTTTCTCTTAATAAAATATATTACTTATAGATTGATTTTGAAATAAAGTCACGTACAATTTTTCAATTTTTTTTAACGCCACATCGTTTTTGATGAAATTTTGTTGGTGGTTAGTCTGAAGGAGGTTTGAGAGAATGATGTAGGTTTCATGATTAAAAACTGCGATTTTTTGAAAATTGAAAAAGTCAAAATTTTTTCGGTATCTGCCTACAACTACAATTATGAAGTTACCATGTTTTCTTAGGGAAAAGTGTTCTTTAATAACAGATCTTTAAATAAGGACAGGTTCAATTTTTCAAAACAATGAGTATTTTTTGTGTGTCAAACATATGCAATTTTTATTTTCTTTGAACATTTTTTTTCTTAAAATCGAACTTTTATTATTAAATTGGGAACTTAGATAACATAAAATATGCTTAAGAGAATGATGCAGGTCTCATGCTCTTTAAAATACCTGATTTCGAGAACATTTAAAATAGGTAAAAATACTTTCGTTTTCCTACAACTGCAATCGTGAAGATACAATTTTTTTGTGTTCTCAAAAATCAGATCTTTAAAGGTCATGTTGAATTCTTTGAAAATATTAGTATTTTTGTGTAATTTCGGGACAAATACATCGCCGGCACGAATTGACTGCGCTTCGTTTTCGGGTCTTATTATAAGTACAATTGTGAAAATACAATTTTTTTTAATGAAATAATTTTAACAAAAATAGATCTTTAAATTAAGTAATGTTCAATATTTTGAAAATACGAGTATTTTTATGTAAATTGGCGACACAATTAAATGCCCATTTGCGATTTGACTACGCTCCGTGAACGCTTCCACACAGTTGAATGCTTCGTAAGTCAGACTTGGTATATATAAAGTATTTAATATTGCGTTATTCGTTTCTTACATTCGACATTTTCTTGTACATTTACACATTAATCTTTTAAAATTATTTAAAACCTATTTGAAATATATTACATAAAAATTGCTTCGGGGAACACCAACAATGCAGAGAATGCAACAATGGAATTCCGGGTCGCGCTCGCTAATTCCTGTAATTTACGCCTCATTGTTGTGACATGATTTATGAAAAGAAGTTATAATTGTCAAGTTTGAGTAGATATTTGCTTGAAAATATTTAGTTTTCCCTCTTAGATGCTCTGCCATTTGTCAAGAGTAGACCCCCGAACATCATGCACTAAAAAAGTAAAAATTATGCAAGCAATCATGCACTTAAAGCACACAATACACGCGCTTTAAACTCAGAATATGCGTTAAACAAAAGTATAGTGAGAAGCAGATTAAACATATGTTTATATTGTTTTGCACTGTAGTACAAAATGCGTATAATAAAAATATATTTTCAAACATTATTATAAACAAAATTGTTATTAAGCGAAGAAAATGTCTCACTTCAGCCCACTTCTATGCAAAAACTTGGAATATATGCTTGTAACATCATTCATTGTTCCACTCATTAAAATTTGTGTTAATTAATTTCCCATATACGTACGTATATACGGAGAAACATACGTAGTATAGGGAAAGGTACGTAATGCTGCGGAAAATCGATTTCGAGATTTCATCAGTATTACACTTTTGGGGTCCTCTGATACCGAAAAAGTGGTCGTTTAAATAGTTAATATATGCAAATTGTAAAAGTTCAAAATTTGTTTCCGCGTCTTCCTACAACTACAATTATGAAGTTAGAAATTTTGTTCTTAAAAAAATCTGTTCTCCAAAATCAGATTTCAATTAAGGGCATGATCAATTTCTCCAAAATACGTGTAATTTTTGTGTGAAACATAGGTAAGTTATAACTAGCGGTGCTACTAAATGGCACAGACATTCTCGTATTAGTTATCTATTTCCTTTGGTCTCTACATGAACTTGCCACATACTCTTGCCAAGTGCCATCTACCGCCGTTTTTTTTAAATTTTCTTAATTTTTCGGTTTCCTAATAGTTGAATGGAAATATTATTTTAACATTTCTAAAGAACAGTATAATCTCACCTACTTGGCAATTTTCTTTGAAAAATTTGGAGCCGTTTTTAAATAAATCGATTTTAAGCGCTACTGTAAATGCGAAATTTGAACCTCTTTTCACAGAAAACTATTAAATTTTCAAAAAACTTCATATAACGTCATTTCAAGCACTTCCAGTCACAAATGCAATAGTGTTGACAAATTATAGGATATGTGCGTTATGTTAAAGGCATGAGAGATCTTTAAAAAAAATACATTTGTATATATTGAGTTTCCGAAAAAGTTCATATGAAGTAATTTCAAATGCAATAATGCTTACAAATTGTTGGAAAATTGTATACTAAAGCCATGAGTAATCTTTTTAAAAAATTATATTAGTGTAATTTTTGAAAAAACAAAAAATACCCTAAAATGAACTTTACGTAATACGTATGAGAGAGTGCAATTAGCCCAATTCCTTCGAAATGTTTCAAGAGTAAATATGGACCTGGTTTTGGGAAAATGGCGTTTAAGCGTTTCTGAAAATGAAGAAGTTTTCAAAGAAAGTGGTTGTTTTCGAGAAACTCTGTGTCATTATTTAAAGCACATACTCAGTAATATAATGTAAACTATTTGTCACTAATGAAAATAATGACGACGTGAGAGACCAGTAAAAAAATTACTTTTTTGTCATTTTTGAAAAAACAAAAGAATAGAGCAATATGGCGTTTATGTCACTTCATAGAACACATTTAGCACAATCCTTACCAAAAGTTTAAAGAAACAATTTGGAGCCGTTTTTGAGAAAATGTAATTTTTGTAATGTTTTAAAATTACACATTGCACGCAATTACACATTGCACACGCACACATTGCACGCGAAAACTACTAAAATTTTCAAAAATGTACACCACCTTAATGAAATAACATATTAGGAAAAATCTCTCTCTTAAATTTTATAGTTGTAGGAAGACCCAGAAAAATTCAAACATTTGAATTTTCGAAAATTCGCATTTAACCGTGAAAATTGGACCTTTGCCACCTTTATAATTATATTTTACTCTATTATTACAAAAAATTTAATGAAAATTATTGGAGCCGTTTTTGAGAAAATTTTGAAAATGTCCCAGGGGCTTCATGTAAAGTACCCCCCAATACTAATGAATGATTTTCAAAACCGACGAGCTTCGACTCAGGCCAAATGGACATGAGTTTTTTTCAATTTGGAAGAAATCCTTCGCATGGTTTAGACGCTAGTGTTGTTCACATACACCAGATGGACGGACGGTCGTTTTGAAAAAAAAAACACTCTTTCGGTATCAGGGGACCCCAAACGCATATATCCGTCTTTGGGTTCAAGGGAAATCACTGGTGCTCTCTAGTGATGAATGCATGAGATGGAAACGACGCCACCATTTCGCGACATACAGTGGAATCCCACAAATCCGAAATTTCGGATAATCCGAACAAAATTCGGGATGGAGGAAGAAATAAACAAAATGCATATTTGTAGTGTAAAGAAAGGATTTTATAATTTATTATTTATTATCTTCTTGTCGTAAGAAAATGAATCTGCATGATGTTATAATGTGATTATGTGATGATGCCAGATTGACATTTTCCACATCGCATGCTACATTTCATTGTGCCTGGTAATCCTATAGATAGGGTTGCCAACCGTCCTCCATTTGGGAGGACAGTCCTACATTGACGTTAATAGTCCTCTCGTCTTCCTTTGTATTTTAAATGTCGTGAATAACATCTGGTACGTTATATCATTTATTGTTTAATTTAGAGTAGAAAACAAGAACATCCTTTTTCTGAAACCTGACACATCGCGACTGTATCGAGCAGTGCTGGCGACATCTTGCGGCACGACCAAGAAAGACGCGAAATGTCGTGAGATATTTCATCGTAAAGACAGGCCCTCACGCGCCAAGAAATAAAAGCCGAAGTATACATGAACATTGTTGGCAAGCATATCTATAGATGTATTTTCATATGTACGGTACATTTTTTGGATAATCCGAACCCGCCACAACCCCCAATTAGTTTGAAAGACCGGGGTTCTACTGTACTAAAGAAAGGGGGAGGGAAGAACCGCCTCTGAGGCGTGTTATCGCTGACCAATGACGGCCCATGAGCGAGGAGCCAGGTAATTGCTGCTGGCGTCTGTTCGTTTGTGTACCTG